GGGGGGGGGGGTACTCATAGTCGTGCATGCCGTAGTCGTTAGACCATTGACCTCGCATCCCTACAAAGCCGGGACGGAGCACGCCGGGTTCTCACCGGACCAGGCTCTCACATCACAGCGCGAAGCGCCGTGAGGTATTTGGCGAGTCGCATGAAGGGTGAGCTGCATCCTGCTAAGGGTGTTCGGCATCTTGTGCTTACTTCCTTGCGTACGGATGACAGCTACGTATGACTTATTTTATTTTCTGGTGCTTTCACTTCCAGAGACAGTTGTAAGCACTGTGTAACTGCCTCGAGGAAGCTTGACCATTTTAACACAACGTGGTGCGATCATCCCCCGTTGCGCGGAGTGAGGTTTCTCGACCCCGCACAACATGATCTACTCGACCACCATTATGGTTACCGCCAAAAAAAAAAAACAAGGTGAAAAAAAAAAAACGGTAACCTGGTTGCCGAGTTCACGAAGTGAATTGGCTTCTTTTACAACGTCGTTGCCAAGCGACGAAAACCCAATCCCGATGGCAAACACCGAGTGGGCCAGGCTATCGTATCACCAAGCGCGAAGCGCCGTGAGGTATTCGGCGAGTCGCATGAAGGGTGCGCTTCATCCTGCGAAGGGCGTGCTTCATCTTGTGCTTACTTCCTTGAATACGGGGGGGAGGGAGGGGGGGGCGAGAAGAACTAGAAGCAAGCGGGATAGTTTCAGATATATCATGAAAAAGCGGTTCTGTATATCTACCAATTCCGAGAAGCTGAGCCACCGAATATCTGAGCAAAATTAAATAATCCCTCTCGAAAATCTCTAATGTAATGATGTGTCTAAAATTTGGAGCAAATTTTTCATATGCATACGTGCACAACAAAGAGAGCTCTGAAAAAAACTCGAAAAATATCCTCCGCCGTTGTTTCAGGAGTGGGGGCGCAGCAGCCTAGCCCTGCTCGACGTGCGAGAAGAAACCCGGCGCCTTTCGGGCGATCTCCTCCAGCTAGACCAAGCCATTGGCGCGAGCCGCGGCGGCAGGAGAAATGCCCACGGAGTGGCAGAAGCTGTTGACGATCTGGGGGACATTCTCCGAGAGATGGAGGAAAAGGTGAGGTGACTCACCCAAGGTTTTCACTTCTTTACTGGGGGGGGCCGGAGGAAAAGGTCAGGTGGCTGATTCAAGATTTTCACTTGTTTATTGGGGGGGGGGATGTTTTTAACGTGTCTTCGCCCGTCGTCGGGGCAGGGGTTGTCCCTCCCTCCCTCCCTCCCTCCCTCCTTCCTTCTCTCCCTCCCTAGTTCTTTCCCGGCACCTGTGGTCCGAGTGTGAAACGTTTTGGTTAGCCGGGATTCCCAGTCAACCCGTGGCATATCTGGTTTGGCACAGCAAACGCAAAGGATGATGATACTATCAGCTTCTGGTCCATCCTCGTGAAACGTTGATGGCCTGGGCCGGCGAAAACCTGGCATATCGCAACGTCTCGGCATTGTAGGGATGCGAGGTCTTTGGCCTAACGACTTCGGCATGCGTGTACATGAGTACACACCCCCCCCGCTACGGCGGTCGGTCGGGTCGGGTCCTCGTTGCTTCTTGTCTCGCTCGTGTCACACAGGAGGCCCCGCCGTCTGCCTGCAGAAAATCACCACTTGCGGGGAGATCTGTCTCGCCTTCCTTTGCTGCAAGCCCTCCCTCCCTCCCTGCTACTACAAGCATGAATCACACAACCTCTCGCCGCTTGTCCCTGTTTCTTTAAAATGCATGGCGCTTGAATCCCCCCCGCTGATCTTCCTCCGCTTCGAGCCTTCCCTGTCCCTCTACTAGCATGCGTCGCACCCCTCGCGGCTGATCCCTCTTTCTTTGAAATACATGGCGCTTGAATCCCCCCCACCCCCACTTGCCATCCATTCTTTTTCCGACGGCGGTGGAACAACAGGTGAAGAGAATATCGCAGCGGGCGGACGGCGCGCTGGAGGCCCTCAACGAAACAGCCTCCCAGATACGGGACGCCGCGGCTTGCCCGCCAGCAGCGACGGCGGGCGCCGCGGCAGGGAACGATCGCAACACTACTCCCTGCGAGGATGTGTGTGCTGCTTCTGGTTCTGCTTCTGGTGGAAGATCTTCTTGAAGTGCTCTGCTTCTGATTCCGGAAGATCGTTCTTTCTGCAAGTTGCAGCGGCATCGCGAAATTAAACATCGCATGTTTTTTTTTTTTTTTGCGAGATTTTTTTTTTTTTACTCCGTCCTCTCACAGGCTGCAACAGCGGCAGTGCCGTCGTTCATAGATTGTTTTTTGGTGTCACGTGCCGTCGCCTAGCTATTGAGTCGTCGCGCGCAGAGATCGCATGAGTTGGTCCTTGTATTTTGTGTGTCCCTCGCGTGTTGGCCCCTCTGCTGCATTTCGACGGCGTTTCTTGTTTACCTGTAGACGTTTTTGGGGTTGGTGCCTTTCAGCCCACCCGCTGTAAACGATTTGACTTTCCCCCTTTCTGCCACGAGCAGAAGCGTGGGCCTACGTTGGCAATTGTTTCCGTCCTTCTCAGCCGGCAATAAAAAAAATGTTCCTGCCCCTGAGAAGAGAGACTAGATTTTTTCGCTCGCTGTGGATTGGGTGTTGTTGGAGAAGGTTGCGTACGTGGGCCTTCGCCTTGGCACAGAGGGCACGAAAGCAAGGGTGGCGAGTCCACGGCTAGCGCCTATTTAGCTAGAGGATGGATGTTCAGTAATAGCCGTGCTCCTCTGTGATGATGTGTGTGGGCGAGGAGGAGAGTGGGTGCTGTAGATTGGAGAGGTCTCCGAGAGGTGGCTAGATTACTTGTTGGGCGTGTGGTTTTCTCGTGTCGTTAAAAGAAAGGTGTTTTGGGGGTGCTTTTTTCGTTGCACCGTGTTGTTGCTCGGAGAGGGGCTGTACGGGGGCTTGCTCGCGGAAGGTCGTGATAATTTTGCCAAGGCCAGGCACCACGTCTCTTTCAGATGGACATGGTCACGTTAGCGTTGTTTGATCTTGTTTTTGGACAGCCCCGTTGTTAAAGAGCCAGCCAGCCAGCCAGCCAGCTAGCCAGCGACTTAGGTCCTGGACTGAAAGATCGACCATTCGTGTGTAGGAACAAACGCGACGTGCGGAATAGATCGGGGCCTCTTCCATGTACATTTTGATGGACGCGTGGCGAGGACCTTCAATTCAAATGCACCCGTGGACTGTGCACCGTGGCAATCTGTACACCCACGACACCTTTTACGCACGTTCTATGTATTGCTGTACGGAGATTGGTCCAAGGTGCTGGGAAGCTGCGTGTTGTGTGGCAGTCTCATGAACGCACTCATCTCGCTGTGTTGCCTACTGCGAAGTATTTTCTTGTTGTGCGTTCTCGTCAAAGAAGTAAGAATTGGCGTCTATCTGCTTCGTTGTTGTGTGCTCTCGTGTTTTTTTGAAGAAAATATAGAGGCAATGTTGGAGCGTGACTGACTACTACACCCGTTCGTTCGACGGGATGCTGCGTTGAAGTCTTTGCGGTGCATTTTTCGCTGGTCCCGTGGTCGGTCGTGATTCGTTGGTTAGGCGACTCACACCACGAGCGGCTTCGTACCGAGAGGTGAATCGTCGGGTCCGTGCGTGCGTGTTGTCGTTGGATGTGCCACACGTGACTTGGTTCGATTTTTTCGATCAAAGGCAGTTAATTGACAGGGTTTGAAGCTTGCTTGCTTCCCACTTCCCACCATTGACCGCGCCGCCGGTGCTTGATAGCTGAATCCCGGGCGTGGTTCGGAAACACTCCGCTCCCGACACGGGAATTTTACAACGTCTGTTGGATGTGGTGCTTGTACCTGATACGCAGACTATAATTTCGTAGTCAATCCCACTTCGTGACTTAAATACAGACAGTTGTTTTCAGTGTATCCTTACGTGCAATTGTATCGCCTTTGCCTCTGGCTACTGCGTGAACATTTCCGATCCGGGGTCACCCCAAAGAAAACATGCAAACAACGAACACCAGTCTGCAGGAAAATGTTGGAACTTGTGTCATGTCGACCACCGTAGTATCAGAAAACTAGAGCCATATTATCTTCGGCTACACACATTGCGCAAGAGAAATATTCATGATTTCCGGGCACCAAGCGCAGGTAGTTGACAAATTCCTTCATTTTTTCATGTTTCTACGCGAAAAGGGTTCGTCCCATCGACGTATCCTGAGGCGACAGTCTCATCGCACCTCTCGGTACGTTTGACCAACATATTGTTGTGAAAGCCTCACTGGTACAAGGGGAACATATATGAAAGGCTTCCCGCTTGAGACAATGCCCCGTTCGAAGGGATGGATTGAAGTTTTTGCAATGACGGTTGAGGGACACCTGCGGGTAGTGGACTCTTTCATTGACTCTGGACAATGGCAAAAGTTTCCACTGCTTGTTTGTGTCAGGTAAGCACAATGAGTGGCAAAGTGCGGTGCAACCGATACCGCTTCGGTTCGTCGTTAGCCGGCATATCCATATGCGTACGACGTGAAATCGCATACCATACCCGGCGGTTAGAGCAGTGCGGGGTAGCCCGGAGCCCACACACGCATATTCTAAGAGTCAAGGTATAGTTCTGCGACATCCTGTTCCACCGATGGCTTCGTTTCAGCGCGAGCACGCTTACATCGCACAGGCTTTGGGTCCCTCCCAAATCCCGGAGCATAAGCTGGCCGAAAACCAGCTTCCGACGAAGAAGAACCGAGATCTGTACGGCGCTGCCACATCGTGAGAACGCAGTCAACAGTCAACTCCTAGTTTTCTATCAAACAGCTCTGGTATTGATGACCTCTACGTCCATTAAGCGTGAAATAGGTGCCGTTTCGCTGCAGCGCATTCCCAGCCTACAAAAACGTAGATCAAATAAAACATAGAGTTGTTGTCATTCTCGGTTGACTTTACGTTTTTCCGCTGCGATTTGACATTGGTGCTTGGGGTTATAGGCGCTCACCGGTGCTAACAGCAGCTTGATGATACAGAAGGGATCCTGTTGCTGGAAATGGGCTACTTGAGAAGGAGTATAGAGTACGAATGTCTGATATTTGCAAGCCGCGCGTAGGTTTGCAATTTGGTGACTGCATGTATATACGAGGTGAAAATCCGACCCGATATCCCGCGGTCGGTCCGCAGACGGCAGCCATGGACAGGAAAGATGCCATGGATACGGTGTTGGCAGGTTCTGAGACGTTCCGAGGCTATTCGGTGTTCTGCCGTGCGATGACGTGGAGGTCGATCTCCGCTCGATTTCCGCCGTCCGTATAAGTGGACAAAAGTGGGTACAATTTGAACAAAAAAAGTGGGTCAAAATACAGACACAAGAAGAGTGGGTACATGAAAAATTCGTTGACGCCGCTGGGTATACCCACCGCGCGATGTCGGACAGAAGTGGGCACTCTGGTGAGGCCTTGCGCGCCTCGGCGGTATTAGGGCCAAAGGTGTGCCTGAAAGTGGGAAAAAATCGATGCCCGTGCTGTGTATGGTCCCCTGGCTGTGTGGCCCAGGTGTCAGAATGGGGTTTTGAGTTTTGAGTCGTTTGGGGGTCGCCTATGGAGGGCGTGCGCGCTGGATTTTCGAGTACCCACTTTTGTCCGAGAATAATGGCGTGGGTTACCAACTTTTTGTCCATTTCCCCTTGTTTTTTGTTTCTCTTATGAGGTACGAGTGAGTGTATGAGAATACTCTTTTCTCTGTTACCCAGTAAGGGTCCCTGAAGTGGTGATTAACCGTTTACCGTATTTTCTTGATACATACGTAGTAGACTGTGTGACGAGGAAGTGCCAAGCGTTGCCGATAGTCTCGGCTTAGCTGTAGTTCAAGCAAGCTTCAAGGTGGAAGTGTGAGAGGGGGCGCCGCGTGGGCATCTCCCCATCTCCGAGATTCACATGGTGAATGGTCATGGTATTCCGTGAATCTTTCCTGGCAGATGTCGTCGGGCGGTAGATTAATTATTCATCATGTAGTCCGACGATCTTTGCAGGTCGCATGTGCGTCATTACCGCCTCTAGGAAGATACATGTATCCTGGTTTCCACATGTCATGTACCCTGAATACTTTGGTTCTGCGAGCATTCGTGACGATGTACAGTATCAGGGAGGGTGTTCGTGGGGTGGATTGTATCGTCCTGACGAAGGCTGCTGCGGTAGTACGCATGTGTAGTTTGAGGTGATGAAGATGTTGCAACAAGTGACGGTTGCACGGACGGATAGACTTTCGGGGTATCTCCCGACATATCATTGATAAGTTGGAATGTGTCCCAATCAATCTTGTTGCGGATGCATCTTTCCGACGGTAAAATTTCGTCCGATTGACTGCGGGATGGAGTGCTTTGGTGTTTGTGGAGTGTCATGCACCTGGTGCTCACTCTGTCTTGTTGCTTATCTACAAGGAAGGGCAACATCTAATAAACGGCATTATAATCTCTTCACTCTTGTCAACCGGGTCAGTCAGCCGTGCTTGTCCAGCAGCACAATAGGCTTGGGACCAATCAACAGGAGGTGAGTGAGCATGCCTGCCTGTAGGGTATTGATACGGGCCAAAGTAGATGATGCCGATCAAGTCCTTCTGGCTCATGATCGGACAAAATATCCTCAACCCGGCCTACTCCAGCCCCCAGCTAGGAAGGCTAGGGCGACCATCTGAACAGCGGGTGGACCGCTCAGCCAACAACATCAGGCGGTACTAGGATTTGAGCTGCGGATACTAGCCAACAAGGGTATCATCTACGGGGGGGGCACAACAACCATTTTTCTCCGATTTACTTTTTGCCCTCATGATGTGATAAACACCTGGCTTACCCTCTTAGATTCTCTTTGCCTTCCGCTGAACTCCGCGACTGACTTTGATTTTCGTTCAGGTTCAACTTGGGCCCAGCGTGGCTGCACGTCATTCTGGATGCGATTTTCTAGGGTTTTCGGGGCTGTTTTCCTTACTCTCAGCCCCCATGTGGTTCGGGCTTGCATGTCCGACGGTGATTGCTCCCAATGCGAGTATTGGTAAGTGTCAAATTGGGGAGTGAAAACACATGCCTTTCGAAAGGGAGGATGTTGGCCTGCACCACATAGTGGTCTACTGTAGTCTTCATGTCCCGTATGTATACTCTTTAGGAGAACAAGACTCGGTACTTGATTGGTGTGGTCTTAAGCCACCGCTATGAGGTAGCATGCGAGCATTCCGCTTTTTGTGGTTGGACGTGCAACGGTAGTATACGATTCCTATATGTACAAGGAAAATACGAAAATAAATGTGGCAATTTTCGTTCTGAGGCGCGTGATTACGATAGGTTGGAAAATCTGGGCTGGTAGCGTGAGACCCGCCGATTCTTGTACGTAGGCTAGGAATCACGGTGTCGTTTTGTCTCTCACTTCCCGAAAAATGCCATTTTTATTATTGTGTCGCCGCGCAAAGGCCGGGTCTTGGAGGTAGAACTCTCTCCCTCGCTCCCGGCCCTTAAGCCTACTAAGGAATCCACACGCTTCCTTAACCCCTTTGGGTCTAGGCTGGACTGTCAGATTTTTGTTTTTGCGCCAAAAAAAAAAAATGAGAGCGAGAGCGAGCGGGAGAGAGAGAAGTGCAGAGAAAGACACCAGTGTACTTCTGCACACGCAACAGCTATCTCCCCCTGTAGGCCATGAGAGAAGCCGGCGACAGGGTGGTGGCCACAGACAGGGTCGTAGAAGGGTTGGTGGGTGGTCGCGCTGCGGTCAGTAGGGCAGGTTAGCTGTGTAGCCTTTGAAATGATCAGTCGTCTAGCTGCCTCAACTAGTCTATTTTCGGTATATTGTAAATGATCAGTCCAGAGAGGGCAAAATGATCAGTGAAGACCCATAGCTGGTATTTGTACTTCTGTACTTCTC